CTGGGCGGAAGCGACGGCTCGGGCGCGGCTGCCCAGCAGCGCCTCCGCGGCCTGGGAGGCTGCACCTGCGCGGCTCGGGGCTCCCCGGGGCTCTACCCTGTGGCTGTAGGCCGGGGCCGCTGCCCCCGCTTGCCGCGACGTTGCGCTGCGCCGCGCATAGGGGCAGCCTTGGAGCTCGGAAGGGGGCGGCCTGCTGCTTGTCGGCCGACCTCCGGACGCTGCTTCCCGGAGGAGCTCTGGTCCCGCCCGCGACCTCCAGCCACACTCGGGGAAGGGTGTTTGCCAAGGGTGGAGTTGCGGCCACTTGGGCTTTGTATTCAGGCCCCCGAGTTTTAGGGAGACTCCAGTGGGGCAGCGTGTGGCACAGTGATGGGTGGGGGAGAGGGGATGGCAGTTCTGCTTGTCTCTTCCTCTGGCCAAGGAGATACTTTGTGTTCCCAGCTGTAGTCCAGGTTCCCCCAGACACTGATTCAGTGGGGGAAAGTTGTTCTTTCTGTGTCCAAGTTGGCTAAGCTGGAAACCCTGACTAAAAAGCAGAACCTTGGTGGTAATGAGATGCTGGGCTGAGATTTCCAATGGCAAGAGAGAGCCTAACAGAGCTGGAATTCATGTGCAGATAGCCAGATCCCTTGTAAGGGAGGGACAGTGCTGCATGAGGATCTGATTCATACAGCTTAGTTTTCACTTTGTTCTGACAAGCATCTAGCTCGGGGGTGTCAAACATCCAGCACACCAATAGTCCAGCAGGCTACTGAAAGTGCATGTCCTTGGCTCTGTGCTGCTGCACGCCCTTGGCAGCACAGGCCAGCCAGAGCTTCTTGCCACCATACAGCAGCAGGGAGCTGAGAGTGTGCATCTGCACAGAACCACATTCAGGTAGCATTACAGAACTGTGGCTGGCTGGCAGTGCCAGTGCCATGGCATGTAGCTGCACTGAGCTACATTTGGGTGGTGCTGGGGGAACTATGGCCTGTAGTCCTGGTGTGCATCGCTGTACATTCCTGGCTCCAGCTCTGTACCACTGCTCAAATGCACCTGTGTCCTGCAGCAGGCCCCTGGCTCCTCACTGCTGCATTCCCCCAGCTCTGTGCTGCCTGACTCAGTGTAGCTGCCTGGCCTCAGCCCACACTGTAGCCTCAATGTGGCCTCATGGATCCAGCCCAGGAGGAACCCCTGTGGTCTGGATCTGTTCTGGGGCCTGGGGTGATTTGACGCCTGGTTTAGTTGATGTTGATTCTTTACTAATACTGTTGATATGTTTGTAGTGTTGTCATTAGCATGACAATGCTACCAGTGTAGAAATAAAACAGACTGGGCAGATACTGGACGAGCACTTGCAGTTGCTACCACCCATTTCTTATGGTGTCTATTTAATAATATGTACAAAAGAAATCTTCAAATTATTTTCCATGCCAGAAGATGACCAGCAGTTCCCTGAACCATCATGGTATGACTTAAGGTAGAGGACTGTCCAACTTCAGAGTAGCCAGCGGCTGCACAGTGCACTGGTCATAGGCTCTAGGTTGCACGCCGTGCAGACCATGCCCATAGGTGCTACACAGGCTCCTTGAGAGGCCTGCTGTATGCAGCTTCCCCCCCACACACTTGTTTGAGTCCCACTACTGCCACCTGTACTTAGGTGAGAACCCCCCTGACTCTTCACTGCCAACATTATACAGTTGACCCCTGCCCACTGCAGTGCAAGCCCTCCCCTCCACCTCCTGCTGGTGCTGCCCAGTAGGCAGCAAGCTTGCCAGACCTGCCATCCCCCATAGCGGCAGAAACGATGAGGGGAGGGCACCTAGTAGCCTGCTGGCCACGTGTGAACTGCTTGCTGGCCAGATGCTGCCCACAGGTCACCAGTTGAACAGTCCTGACTTACAGTATAGCTAATAAGAAATTGGTCTTATAAACACAGAGAACAGGGTAATTGTAAGAAACGTTGGGCTTCTTGTCCTCCTGTTTTCCAGAGGTACCTGCCAGATTTCCTTGGCACTTGCAGCTTGTGTCCAGAGCACAAAACTGTGGATGCTATCCTAGTTTGTCAAAGCACATTTTTATGTGAACCCAGCAGACTTACTGGGTCTCTTTCTTCAGCATGAGGCAGTGACTTGAGTGTATAAAACACTTACTGTACACCACACCACCTGTTAGAGTATCCAGAGGGGGTCCTCCAAGTAGGAAAACCTTTTTCGTCACACTCAGTGCAGGTAACAAGTTTCATCCCATTAAAAGCTTTTTTGTAGTTGTAACATTGGTACGTTTTCAGATGGGGTACCAGGAGGCAGATGGGCAAATCGGAGTGGCTTTCTCGAATTTCCTACAAAAGTTTTATCTCAGGTGGCCATGACTCCTGGTTTTATGTGAGAAGAGTGCCCAGCCCTTGCCACCCATTATCATGGGCATCTTGTCTTGTCTTGTGTAATACTGTGTTTCATCTGGCTCAGAATGCCTTATGCAAGTTAGAACACTGAGCAAGATAGATGGAGAGGAACCTTGGGCTGTTCAATAGGGAAGCTTCTAAACAGATGAAAGAATAAGATCACAGGACTCTGAACAGGCATGATTATTCCTGGCTAGTCAGTCTCTGTTGAGCTTCAGCTGTTGCCATAAAATGCAAAAGGAAAAAACTGCAGACTTGCACATGTACAATCTTTAAAGGATCTGTACTAGAGGACTAAGTCAGCTACTTAGACAATGGAATGAATTCTGTGGTGAAATCCCTGGTGAACATAGTAATGAGAAATAGGAAAAACATCTCTACCTGTGGCTTCCTGGATTATCAATAAGGGTATCTCAGAACAGGCTTGGCACGCAGGTGCTGCCAACCCTGTCTGTGCTGCCATGTGGTTGTGTTTATCTACTTGTACACTTCCCTTTGCATCAGGGAGTAATTCAGGCCTCAGATCCTGTTGTCCTGGTTATACCCTTTGGGAAAGCACTAAATCAGGCTTGTCCAACATATGGCCCATGCACTGCCATGCGACCCACCAAGCCATTTTTTGAGGCCCAAGGTCCCTTGCTCGGGACAGGCAGGTGGGGGAGGGGAGGGGAGCTGCTCACCCCCGTAGGGCTGGGTTCATCATGTGAGCTGGGTCCTGGCACCGCTGCGCCTGACGGGACGAGCTGGGGGCAGCACCTGCTTTTAGTTTTTTTCAGTTCGGCCCCTTGCCCCTGGTGTCCCACCTGCCTCCCGGGACCTATCAGGCTCGGTGGCCGCGGGGTGGGAACGGGGTGTGGTGCCTGGCGCAGGCAGTTGGCAAGGCAGCCCTGGAGGGGCCTTGGCAGGCAGGGTCCTGGCGTGACCTCTGCAGGGCAAGGCGGTGGGAACCGGTGTCTGTTGGACCCTGCGCTCTGGGCTCGCAGCACTAAGGCCGCCAGGGCTGCATGTGCGGGCGGCCGGGCACCATGGTGAGCAGGGCTGTGTGGGCGGGCAGGTGAGGGGCTGTAGTACAGCTGCCACCTCGCTCTGGCTTGTGGGACTGCACTGCTCGGGGGATGGGGATGTGGAGCTATTTATTTCTCCCCACCAGTCTCTGGGGCAGCAGCTGGCTGGATGCAGAATGGGTCTCTCTTGCCCCTGCCTACCAGCAGCTACCATGAACCTCGCAGTAACAGGCAGGTGCAGTAGGGCTGCACAGGCAGGGTCTCTTTGGTCCAGGACAGAGAGTGTTTGAATATGGCTTGGCGGCCCACTGGGCGATAAAAAGTTCATGATCTGGCCCCACATTCAAAAAGGTTGGACACCCCTGCACTAAATGTTACCTTGTTGGGAGACGGATACTTTGAACTTATCTGACACTTGAAAGTGGTGCTGACTGTTGCTTACTAGGGCTGTGCGAAGCTTCGGTCCCTGATTCAATTCGGTGGTGATTCAACCTCATTTGGTGGCCGAATCTCTGAATCTGAATCAAATCAGAGGGCCCTTTAATCTTTCCGAATCAAATCAGAACCCTCCGAATCGATTTGGAGAGATTCAGAAAGATTTGGCAATTTGGACATAGAGACAGCTTTAAATGTTTTTTCTACATACCTCTAGGTAGCAGGTGGCTTGTGAATGCTGCAATGCTGGGGCAATGGCCCATGGAGCGTCCCACAGAAGCACAGGGGGCTCCCCAGCACACTCAGCAGCAGAACTGGAAGTGGACCAGAAGCACTTCCAGGCCCACCCCAGCTCGGCGACTGGTGCCTCCTGGGTTGTGGGGCAGGACCCACTCCCTGGCAGACCCGGAAGTGGACTGGAGGTGCTTCCAGTCCACTTCTGGGTTCGCCGCCAAGCACATGGAGGGTCCCCCTGCACTCCTGTGGGATGCTCTGTGTGCCCCAACATTTCAGTGTTCACAAGCCACACTGGTACCTCAAGGTATGTAGAAAAAACATTTAAAGCTGTGCCTGCGTCCGAATCGCTGATTCTCCGAATCAGCATCAGATCTTCAGATTAGCCTGAATTGAATCACTGTCCGTGATTTGGGCCGAATCCGAATCGAATAGGGCCTGCTTTGCACATCCCTATTGCTTACTGCTGAGATGGTTTAATTTGCACTACAGTGGAGTCGCATCTTACACAGGGGTTAGGTTCTAAAGTCAGCGCATAAGGCGAAAATCGCGTATAGTCAAAATTACTCTTGGGCTTGCCCAGTGGTACAGTCTGCTCCCTCCCCCCATCCAGTGGTACAGTCCCTTCTTCCCGTCCAGGGCAGCCTGCACCAAACTCCCACCCAGCCAGCGTGCACAGCTTCCCAGCAGGGCTGCTCCCAATGTAGCTGCTTGGCCCCATGCACAGCGCTGAGGGGGGCTGCTGTGGGCTGA